GTTCAGATGCTCCTCGATGGCTTGTGCTATTCCAGCTTGGTCCGTCTTGGTCGCCAATCCTTGAGCCACATTCATTGCAGTGGCTTCGAAGCGCGTCTGACTGACCGCCTGTCGCAGACTCGAAATTGATGCAACTTGTTGGTGTTGATTCGCTCTCAACGCCTCCATGTTCTGCTCCAGAACTTGTCGATGGGTGCTGGCGGCATTCACGACTGACTGCAAATCAGTCAGTGAGCGCTGAGTTGCCTCCCAGACCTGTTGCACATCCTGGGACTTGGCAATTGACAATTCTTGAACTTGTTTTTCCACTCCCTTAATGGCGGATTGCATGGTCGCCGCTGTCCTGGCCAATTCCCTTGATGGGGAACGCCTTTCCCAACTTGATTTCCTCTTGGTTGAGGTTTCCCTTGTCCGCCAAAGTCGAGAAACGCGAGAAAATGCGGTTCCGGGTGGTGTAGTCGCGCCCACTGTCGCCACCCTGCGAATTGCAGTACTGTACGGTGCTGCGACACTGCGTCCAGTGTCACTGGGTGCTGCGTCAGCGACAGCATGCGCCGCAGCGCCCCTCTCGGCATCACGTGACGGCGGAAATTTCGAGTCTTTTCCGCTGTAGTTCGCAGCTACACTTTCCGCGCCCAAATCAGCCTGATTTGGCCGATGCTGACTCAACCTCATGCGACCTGGTGCGGTGCTGCGGCCGCTCTGGGCCCCTCGCAACTCCGCCGCCTCCGTGCGGCGCGACGGCCCGGACACGCTCTCCCCGCTGTCCGTGTCCATGGCGTCGGTCAGTTGGGCCTCCTGCGACATGGCCCTCGGTCTCCAATCGCCGCGCACAACCAATCGCGACCTCGCCGCGCGTTGCCGCCGTTCGCCACCAAGATGCACACCCAAAATCGACCTTCCGCCGCAGTTTTCCACCGGCGCCGTTCACAATCGAGCCCGAACTCGCGGTCCTTTCCACTCAATGCAGTTCACTCGGCCCGGCGACGGTGCTGCACGTTCAATCCGCGCGTCGGCTCGCGTTTTCCGCCGCCAAATCCCGCCGAGATCCCGCTGATTCAAACGGGCCCAACGTGGGAACCCGGAATGGCGTCCGATTCAACACCCCAAACTGGTCGCAGCTCCTTTCCCAGCTTTGGCGCAACTCTGCGCGCCGATCTGCACTTCGATTCAGCAAAATCCCAGCCGTTGACCCACCGAAAATCGTCCTTGCGGCTCAGCCAGCTCGGGCCGCAATCGGCCTTGGATGTGGCCTCCTTTCTCGAATCCCGCCGGCCGCTCTGTTCGGCCGCTTTGCTGCGCTCCCAGCGCCCGTCCTCACGTGCTCGGCGCGTTGAAATCCAGGCTCCGAAACCAAATGCTGTCGGCCTCCCTTCGGGCCCCCGCCGTCGCGAGGGGGCCTCCGATGCGCGTGGTGGTTAGCCGCTTGATGCTCCGCCTCCGCCGGGTCCGAATCGTCGGACTGCGCGTGCTGGGCACGGCGCTCGTGGCGGTATGCTCGGGAACAGGCGGACTCGCGGGCTCCGCCGGCCAGGTCGGCCGAGGTCGCGGGGTCGGGTCGCGGGCGCAGTTTGCTTGCGCGAGAAAGGATCATTACTACACCGCACTCACCACATAAGTAGGGTGGTAAGCTCGTGGGCCACCGGTGCGGAAAGAACTCGTGTCATGGCACCCACACCGGTGCCTTAGTGTACTGTCATTGTACCCATACACTTCATATTCTAGTAATAAATGTCCTGACCGTTCATAATCTGATACACGCCAATGCAGATGGGCTCTCCCGGATGCCAGTGAGGGGAACGACTGTCTAGAACGCAGTCAGGATCAGATGACGAATTGGGATTTTGGGCCAGTGAAGGGGGGCCCGAGAGCGGCCAACCCTCCATCGAATCGGGGTTGGACTGCTTTGTGACGTCTCCATGGTACAGCCAAATCATGGAGCGATTGGGAGGAAACAGCGAGTTCCGCATCGCAGGGCGACGACTTCTTCGGAGGGGGCGTAGAGATGAGTGGAGGCTTTGCGTATTGGAAGATGAGGTGGGTCGAGTGATTGAGCAAACGCATGATTCAGCTGCGGGCGGGCACTATGGAATCCGCAACACGTTGCGTCGGACACAACGCCAGTTTTGGTGGCCAACGATGGAACGCGACATCACCTGCTGGGTGGCCAATTGTTTGACGTGTTTGAATCACGCAGCGGCTCCCACTCAGGTGTCTAAGGCTCCAGTGATGGCGACGCTGCCCCTCGAATGGATCCAGGTTGACTGGATCTTGGGGTTGCCAATGACGGAGCACGGGAACTTCTGTATCATTGTGGCATCTGATGGCATGATGGGGTACGCGATGGGGAAGGCTTATCCCAATGCTACCTCAGCTGCATCGGTGGACTTTTTGACGAGTGAGGTGATCTTCCGGTTCGGGGTCCCGCGGAAAATACAGATTGACAATGGGAGTCACTTTGAGGGGACGTTTGCTGATTTGTGCCGCAAGTGGGGGATTCAGCGGTCGCGATCAACCCCTTACCATCCCCCTTCTCACGGAAAGGTCGAGCGAGCTAACCAAGAGTTACTGGAGAGAATCCGGAGGTTGGGAGAGCCGAACACGTGGGACGTCAGAGTGGCCGCCGCATCACCGAGCAGTACGAGTACTCTCCAGCTGAGTTATTGATGGGGTTTCTACCACGTGGTCCAATGGAAGTCTCACTGCTGGCTCAATGTGAGGATGACGCGGCATCTGATGGGGAACCGTTTGATAGGGCAGCACGGGTTCCGCTGCCGAGCGCTCGGGTGGCCAGATTGAGAGCCCTACGACTCCGCCACGCTGGGAGGGTGAGGAAGTTGGCGCAGTGGTGGACGCGCGTGCACGACGCGAGAATGACGGTGGGTGACATGGTGATGATGTGGGTGGGGCGAAAGCGAGCGCACAAGTTACGTCCAAGATGGGTCGGGCCGGTAAGGGTGACGGGGGTCGGTCAAAAGGGGACAGTACGGGTGTCGATAGTCGGGAGGGAATGGCTGGTGGCGGCACATCATGTGCATAAAGTGCGTGATGAGGGGTCCGCGCGGTGCCTCACCCCCGCTCCAGCCTCGCCCGCAGCACGCGCCCCATCCGGACCCCTCGGAGGCACCGCGAACGGACGGCATAGAGAACGAGAGCATCGCCCCTTCACGCGCGGAATGGGACGCCCTGCGGGAGGAAGTCAAGCGGTTGACGGAGGCCATGACGGGAATGGAGGAGGTTGCGCGCAAGATGTTGACTCGCGCCGAGAAGGCCGCGGAGGAGGCGACTCGGGCACGCGAGATGGCAACCTGTGCCGAGGAGGCAGCGGCGGAAGCGACACGGGCGCGCAAGGCCTCGGAGGCACAGGCGGATGAAGCGCAGCGTGCAGGTCCCGACCCCATCGGTGGAACGTCGGCGGAGAGGCATGCGCCCAGGTCGGGATCCTCGAGGAAGCAGGGCGAGGGGGTTCCCAATGATGAGGCAGATCTGACCTATACTGAGACGGTGGTGACCTAGGAGTGGAAGGATGAAAGCGGACAAAGAGCGGACACCGACGATGATTGGTGGGACACTCGGTTCAAGGATGAACGCGGGATGCCTCTGGGGTACCGCGCTCGCCGTAGGGGGGAGAAGCTGGCATATGATGAACGGGATAGGGAAGCTTTCCGCCGGAAGAACGCGCGATACGTGGCTGGACGCTGGGTGACTTGTTCGCGCGAGGGATCCGTGTATCTCTGGAGTGAAATAGCAGAAAGCTGGTGCCTAGTGTACGGTCCAGCAGAGCCTCCGAGCGAATTCACGCGCGGGCCCACATTATCCGAACGCTGCATCACGGGTAAGGGCTTCTGGGGAACGGGCAGGGGCGCCTACCCCTGAAGTTGGTGGCATTCGCGAGAGTTTCCCCACGTCGAAGGGCCCCGTCAGCATGCGTAATCGATTTCCGGGAAAAGGGGGGGGTACCTCCGAACCTCACACCCTGTTTTGCGCGGGGGAAAAGGACGAAGTCTCTGGGGAATCACGATGTCGAATAAGGAGATAAGAGAGGGGCTTTGGGCTGGGACTTTCTGTCGCTCCTTTGCCTGCAGGGGCGCAGGCAACTTCGGAAAGGATGTCCTGTTACGGAGGGGATTATCAGGAGCATTAGGGCACATGTAAAGGGGGGCGGTAAGGGGGTCGGTAATTGGCAGATCAGACATTCTAGCGGATCGTTCTCGAAACAACGAATGAGGTTCTGGATTCTGGCATGTATTATAAGAACGTTGTCTTGTAAGAAACGCCTGCTCTCGCCGCGATTGGCCAGGGCACGAGCACTTCCGGGTAGGCTCTCCCCACTCCCGTTTGCGTGTTGCGAGGGACCCACTGACACATTGAGATATAACAAGGTCCGCATCGAGGATATTCATGAGTTATGTTGCATTTCTCCAGTGACTCGTCACCCAGATCGAAGCCAGATTTTGCCTGCAGCAAAACGAGCGCCGTACTCTTCAGGGCCCCTGCAAAGGTTACGGCCTCCGGCGCGCAGCAGCGCGGTCCTGGGCACAGGCGGGGCTGCCCAACATGCCACCGCCGTCGGCGCGCCCTCGAGCGCCCTGCTCGACTCGGCAGGGAGCAACCGCCTGGAAAGCCAACCCCGGTCGCGATGGCGTCACCGCTCGCCTGGCGCCCAGTTTGGACCTAACTTCACGGAGAAAGCAGCGATTCGCGCCCGCTGGGATGCCGATCTTCGCCGGTTCCCGCACCTCGCGAGGCTGTCACGCGCGGTCAACCTCCTACCTGTCGGCAAACACAGTCCCGCGGATGGACGCGCCATTCGATCGGCCATCAAGGGAGATGTTCGGTGGGCTGACCCGCGGCTTGGGCGGCATCCTGGTGGCCTGCGCGGCGGCCGCCCTGGCCCTGGTCTGGGCGCCAGGCGCCTCGATGGCTGCTGAGCGTGTGGACACCTTCGACGCCACGGGGCTGTTGTTCAAGGACAAGGTTGAGGTTATCGCCGTAGACGACCCCTCCGTGGCCGGCGTGACACTCTTCGTCTCCGACTTCAAGCGCTCCATCGCCAACAAGCTGTCCAAGGACTTCTTCGACGAGCCCAGCCAGGCGGGCATCACCTGCAGCCGCACGGGGCACGTGCAGATCTTGGACCCCAAGGGAGTGGCGACGCCCGGGGGCCAGGAGGTGTTCTCCGAGAGCAAGGGGCTGTCGCTGTTCGGCAGCAAGGCCACGAGGGTGCGACGGCTGTGGGACGCCGACCGGCGGACGCTGCTGTACGTGGCGTACGGCACGCGGGGCCTGACGAGCGGCACAGACGAGGGGGGCCCATCGCCGGGCCGGTACAAGACGTCCATATGCGCCGTGGAGGTGCCGGCGGAAGAGGCGGTCTCCTCCTAACTGGGTGGCCAGCAGGCTCCCTTTGTTTTTGGAGGGGGAGGAGTGGGAGGGGATTTTCGAAGCTCTTTGGTAGAGGAAGCAGCACATCATGTGCGTTTTCGTCAATTCTACTACTGATGACTGTTCATTGTCATCGAGGCGACCTCGAAGACCATTCGTGGTCACTGGTTTTGAATAGGCAGGCTCAAGGCTTCAAGAGAGCGGCTGGGGGCTGGCCAGCTCTTCTTTCTCCGGCTTTGCAAGAGAGAAGGTGCCCATTTGCAGGTCCATTCTCAGGAAGTTGGGCCTTGCAGATGGGCGAGATACCTTTTGGTTGTTCTTATTTGCAGATCACAAACAGCTGAGTTGAGAGAAATGTCCTGTCGTTGCCAGTTTTGAGATGCCTTCAGAACGTGCATAACAACTTCCAAAAGTATCGATCCTGCAACCTGACAGCAGGGGACACTGACTAACAGCACCATTGTGCAACTAGAATATTGACCAGCGAAGAGGGTGATGTGAAACGATGCGGCAGAGAACGACCATGGCTTAATGCAGCCACTAACAAGTTGCCTACAAATTTGACACTGTGAAAGGCCATTTGGGGCTTCACCGTCCATCATCAATCGTCCACTCTTGATGCCAACCATCTAGTTCGCATGCGCATGTGGTACTTTTCTTGCACTGCTCAAGCCAGGGCCCCTGCAGAAGCAGCGAACAGTGCAACAGCACCACAGCGCTGTGCTGCATGTCAACGAATTCATCTCTGTCAAAGATGGCTGGACCAAGTTGATGTTTAATCCTTTTGCATTGCTATGTGCCACAACTGCTGTATGCCAAAGCCCAACAGCCCTATCATGCACTGGTCGGCCCATAAGCGACCAGGTTGGCAGTTTGCCACCTGTGGCAAAAGCTCTCATCTGCACCGGTTGCCCCAAAATGGGTACAGCGTGCCCGAACGCCTGATAACGCTTGAGTGGCCCCATCATCGCCAAAGGCTCAGGGGCAAAGTACTGCCCTGAAAGGCATACGAATTCCAACAGGATTTCCACAGTCTGCCACACAACGCTCCATATATATGGATGGCTCAGGTGGCACGCCGAAGAGACAGGGCTGAATAGATAAGAGCTGTCGTTGGATTGGCATCGATGAATTGGTGCTCGTTGTGCATGGCAGTGTGGCATTGTTGTGCTCTGCCGCTGTCCCTCATCGTGTTAACCACCTGCATCACTGTCCTACCATTCAATGGGTGGTCTCATGGTAATGCTCAGCCTCCTCAGGTGGTATCCATGTGTGCACACCTAGGCACAAACTCCCAGTCCCATGCAGTTGGCGCACTTCTGCATACCATCTCCGTGGCACATGGGACACAAACACTTCGCCATGTCCTTGGGTTTCTGGCGAGGTGTGTAGTCCACCACCAGGTCTCCTGGAACAAATTCGATCCTCAGCAATTTGTGTGCCAGTGCCAGAAAGGGGGAAGGGTGGAGGTTGGAGGGCAGAGGGAGGTGGTAACAGCGACGCAACATTCCATTGAAGGAGCAAAAGAAGGATTCTGTAACCCCTTTTGTATGGTTTTCCCATGGGACTTGGGATTGTGTCACACATGACCAATGTCCAGTCACTTGCTGAGTGTGGACATCGCTCAAAAAGGTTGCACCATTATCAGAGCTGATGGTTGGTGGAATCATCGGCAACAGCTTATGTGCAGCACAAGTAGCATCGCTCCTTTGTGACCGTCTACAACACTTGCTATATGTTGACTTATCCATATGTGCAAAAGAGGCACGTACCTAGGCACACTTGGCAAGGAGATTTCCCATCTCCTTTGCAGACCTCACAGAACTCCTTCCTGGCTTTCTGAGAAAGGGCAACAACAACAATCGGGGGTCAAGGCATGACAGTCACTGGTGAACGTTGCGCACAAGCCCAGCCATAAATGTGGTCACATAAGGTTTCGGCCACAATTTGAGGACATGGCCACCACAAGAATTTCGGATACAATGGGCACTCGCACTCTGCAGTTCTCGATGGCCATGAACTGTGATGCAGCTGGCTGTACCTGGGTACCAATTGATACTACAGACGTACTGATTGCAGTGCACACATAATGTTTGTGACTGTCAATTTCATGCACTGTCCATGGCGCTTCTGCTAAATAGAATGCACAGGGCTGCCTGCATGAACATTAGTGTTTGCAATTTGACCAGAGAAAATTGACATTCTGGCTGTATTATACTATAATGAAGAAGGTATTCAGGCGTTTTGCAAACATTTCAGGAGCATTGTGGGCTGCAGTTGCCACACATGTCCGCTGCATCTTTCTGTCAATAACGTTTCAGGGCCCAATTCGTATCAATAACATCAATAACGTTCTTCATTTGCTGTTAATAAGGGTTGCTGCTGGCAATCAGCACAGCTCAGCCGCCCACCGACCTGAAATGCTCCTGCAGATGCACTTTTCATTGCAGTCAATTTCCATTATTCGATCATACAGTCGATGAGTGGTATCTTTGAATGGACCTGACTTGTGGCCATTGCAATCCGCATCTACGCCGTGACAAAGCTGATGACTTCTCCTGCCTTGAATCGAAACCATGAGCTGCACAGCTGATGACTCACTGATGTTGGGCAAATCCGGTTTCAGAGGTTGTAGTTGCTTCTCAACAACCCGTCCACACCTTCACCTGGAATCAATCAGCAGCGCCAATGATCGCGTCGTTGATCCACTGTCCGCAAGTCCGCTCCAAGTCAGGTATCATCCACAGTTGCAACAACAAGGCCCTTATTCCGTGCCCAACTGTTGCCTTCCAGGCTAATAGGCATTGCCTTGCCAAATTTCCACGCAAGCAATACGCAAACGCGCAGTGCGTTTCCAACATTCCAAACATGCATGCAACGAAAGGAATCTGCTCGCTCCAGCTCGAGCAGGCGGCCCTCACCTTCTGCGCGATCCTCCTCCGTTTGAGAGCCTGCGACACCACCCCGGAGATCCCGCCGGCCAGGAAGACGGCGCCGCCGATGCGCACGGCGACCGCGCCGCAGCCCGCCACCGCACTGGCGCCCACCCGCACGGGCATGGTCATGGCACCGCGGCGCGACGCGCCTCCTGGGAGGTCCAACCCGCCACACCCAAAGCCCAGTTTCTGCGCCCAGTACTGAAGTGCCTGTGCTGGTTGCGGGGCTTGCTCGTTTAGGACCTGGTGGTCCTTAGGAAGGTTGGTTGTACCATCCCAATCAGCCAAGGCTCTGCGACTCGCCGCCAGACTCGCCGCTTGGGGAGTTGGTCGGGGCAGTTGGTTGGTTGCGGACAGCCGCACCGGTCCTAGCGGGTAAGCGCGCCCAGTGCCAATATCCGCTCCGAACCAGTCGCTGTAGCGAGTGTAAAGGGCCCGCCCCCCTTGTGCCCCTGCCCATCTCACACGCTTCCCTGGACGACCCTCGGCCAAGCCCGCGAATTGCGTGGACTGCGTCGTCTAAGGGACCTGAGCAAGGTCCTTGCGCCTGGAAAGCGATAGCGGGCGCGTTGAGCCAGTGCTTTTGTGGTAATCCGTGACTGTATTTCCGCGCACTGGCAACGGGCACGTGCTCCCAATTTTGTCCGCAGGCTTCGGATGTCCTATTCTTCCCCCAATCGCATGGTTGCACATCGGGGAAAAGTCTCCCCTCCCCATCTTCGGAACTATGATTGTGGTAATCGACGGTGCCCATGAGACATGACTATTATCTTTATGAAATGAGAAAATACGCACATGTTGGGCGTGCTGAAATGTTGTGCCTCACGGGAAAGCACGTAAGATTTGTTGCTGCGCTGGTGGAGGCTGAGGGTATCCATGTGTGACTGGAAGTCAGGCTTGGGCTGGTTGCCCCCAGTTTTTCTGAAAGCTGCCTTGCACGAGCCCTGAAAACCTGGCAGCGTTAGTGCTCGCCGACTCTCCCCATTAGCAGCTCTTGGACATATTCTGCATTCCCTTTCATGACCGCGCTTAGGATCACTCTTCTGTTTAGTGCACAAAAAAATGGGAATCAAAATTCAAAGAGGAAGTTCTTTGTGCAGAAGAGCAAACATCGCACAGTGAGGCAGGTGGTTGAGGGGAAATTCAATGCGTAAAATGTAGAGTTGACTGGCACTGTCCCTTGTAGTGTCATAACTGCCAAATAGGCTCAGGCTCAGGAAACTGGCATCCCTTACATGACAGGGCCTGTGGCCCCCAGTTTGTGGTGCTGGTACCATATGCATGTTAATCAACAACGACATATGCGCAGTGGACTTTGTTTCTTGCTGTCCTGACCTGCACATCTGCACAGCTGGACTCTTCAGCCACTTTTCCACATTCTTGTCACACATCTTGGCAATTTTTCACTGATCTATTTTGCTGCAGGGCTGGCAGGCATGGTCAACAAGCTGCTAGTCCTTCAGGACCAGATCAAGCGTGACCCCGCCAGCTACAAGGACGAGTTTCAGCTGCAATTCCGACACTACAAGGCCTGCCATGGCCTGTTCTCCCTGCGTCCCAACAATGGCTCTGAGGACTTTGCCAGGCTGGTGCGCTTTGTGGCACAGGTGTCCGACAGGTACCCCAACCTCACACGAGGCTTTGGCGAGGAGATCATGGACCTGCTGGAAAAGAACAGCATGACAGTGGACCATGAGCTGAGGAGGTCCCTTGTGCAGTCGCTCATACTGCTTAGGAAGAGGGGCCAGGTCAGTTGCCATGGGCTTGTTACAACACCCTTGAGCGTCATGCTGACTGCCTGAAACAAATGTCAGGAAAACGTTGCAGGATCAATGGTACAATGCTGTGGGAATTTCAGCGCATTGCTGCAAGGATAAGCATTGCATGTGTTCGTGATGGCGTCGTCGTTGGAAAATGGTACTGCCAGGCACCACCTGGTTTTGGATTGACGATGGCATTGAAACTGTTGAGTTGATGATAAGATGGCAAGTTCCAAGATGGCCTTGGAATGTTGTGTATCAGATGGCCCCAATGGTCCACTCAAATGTCAGCATATAGAAAACCATGAATATTTATTGCTTGTTCATGGATCAAGTCACCCTTGCTTGCATATCCAAGTGCGCCCAGTCCTACAATCGGGAGTGAATGCTTCAAACTTTTATTTGGCAACACATGTGCGATTCTATGATTTGCCACTTACATTTGGGAACAATTGGCCACCTTGGTGCCCAGAGATTTGTGCTAACACTGAATTGCTCATGTCATCGTTCAAAGCAAAGGATGGCCCTCTGCATGAGTTTAAGGATATTCTTTTATGACAGGTATCTCCAAATGGAATATCCCATACCTCCATTCAGCTGCAAATAAGCTGGGTCAGCAACATCGGCAAGTTATCTCCCGCCACCCTGACCCACTAAAAGCACTATGTAATGCAATTCTTAATTGATTTGTCAAAACCATGTATTATGCACACCCACATTCAGGTCGTTGCCACGGTTGTCTTTTTGCCAAGGAACCAATGTGCCTAAACACTGCCTCTACTCCCAAGAATGCAACCCATGATCCCAACTGAATGGCCAAGTGGATCTAGCAAGTGCAGAACTTGATGGTGGTTTGAGATCAAGGGGGAAATCAGCACAGTATGGTGGAAAGCGAGCTTGTTGCAAAGATTTAGAAGTACCCATTGTGTCCTGGTCCATTGCATGAGGTTATTGGATCAAGGTTGTTGCTTGAGTAGAAGCCTTGGTGGTTCAGCAACGAATTGTGAACTCAATCTTCAACATTTCCACCTGGGCCATGTCTGCTGAAGGTGGCCCCCATGGCAGCTCTGCCCCTCTTCTTTCGTATGTTCCATTGCCGGGACAAGTCCCTGAGAGTGATGCTCTTCAAGCATATCGTGGCGGACATTAAGAATGCAAACAAGAAGGCGAAGAATGAATCACTCAACAAGCGCTTGCGGGCTTTCTTGTATTCTGTGCTGCAAGAGCCCAATGAGGTGACGGCAAAAAAGTCACTGGCGGTGCTCACAGAGCTGTGGAGGCGGCAGGTGGGGCTGGGAAGCCAATAAGCCTGGATGGTAAACATGGCATTGGAATGACTTGTCTGTGACAACATGTGTTACATGACAAGAAAGTAGGTGAGCACATGCACGCTATATTGACATGCCATGCAATGGGCAACCCTTTCTTGGACGAGGTTACTTGTGGGGCTCTGCCTGGCCCTGGAAGCTGATGTAGAAGTCTCTGCATGCAAGAAAAAGCACACTGGCGCAGATCATCGTGCATTGCATCGAGTCCTAAGCTCAAGGGGGTGGGGGTGGGGGTGGGGGTGGGGGGGTATTGGCAGAGGTACGAAAAAGTTTCTGAACTGGATGTAGTGTATCAAGAGCATGTCTGCAGTGCCAGTAAGCTGCCACTCTAGAAGCCAGCTCCAGGAACAAAACGGTTCCTACTGATACGCGTTCCTCTACACCATACCCAGCCAACTTTGAAACAAATGCAATGTGGTGAAGTAAGGTGTTTGGGGCCCTTGCTGATGGGAATGGGCATTCTGGACAGCAATGACTGTAGTTGGACAACATGTTGTTCCATGCTGGAAAGGCAAACATGCAACCCACTTGGCATGTCCAGCACACAAGTCAAATGAACTTCACCAAAGACAGATCTGTGTGAGTTGCTAACATTGCTGAAGTAGAGTGTTGGGGTTTCATGCTGATGGGAACACGCATACTGGACAGCAAAGGCTGTAGATGTACAAGTTGTTTTCCAATGTGGGAACGGCAAACTTGCAGCCCACTTGAATTGTGCAGCGCACATGTCAGGCGAATCTCATCAAAAGAGCAGAACTTTTATGAGCCACTCCTGTCATGTCTGATTGCGTGAGTGGTGCTTTGAGCTGACGAACGTTAATGGGCTCCAGAGCCTTTCGTACACAACCCAAACGACTACAGGTTACTTTGGTGCTGTACATTCTCCCTTTGATGATGATATGCTCTGTCAGCAGATCTGGAGAGACGCACACACAGTGGATGTGATTGCTACTGCAACAGAACACCCCAGCAGTACTGTTGTCTTGGCTGCTGCAAAATTCTTTTTGGGCTATGATGTGAACGATGCTGGAGGGGAGTCAGATGACGAAGAGGAAATTGACAAACTGGCACAACAGCAAACTGCTCAGGAGGTGTACAGGTGGGTTTGGTTTGCGTTCTTGTTATGAATCTGGATACCGACATACTGGATTGTTCTGTTGGACTTGACTCCCTACTAGCAAGTTTCAGCTGTAAGCTTGAAGTGCACCAGCATACGGGCTTTGCAGGACAAATTGTTTGGAGCAGCATCTGTTGATTTCAGCTGCCATCTGCTGTTGCTGGTGATGAGGCACTTTGTGCCCAGTCTGTGCAAGTGAATTGTACATGCCATTGGCGTGCTGTGCTTGTTGTCATGGGAATTGATGAATGTCCAAACTTAACTGAGAACTTGGCAGCAGTGCACCACTGCAAGTTTGCTGGTTGATATTGGCACTCTGGGGGGTCATTCTTTATTGCTGGCAGCTATTTGAATTTGGACGTTGCACTCTCATTCCAGATGAGTCCTTTTTCCAGATCACGGCAGAACAATGGGTCCAGCAATAATGTTATCATTTGAGGCTGTGTTATACATGAGGAGACACAGTTGCTGGGCCCCCGGCCATGTTCTTTGTGTTTCACACAACTGAGGCCGCCTTTCCTGGGAACAGTGAATAGCATGAAGTATCCTGTTCTGCACGAATTGCTTGAGGGCACCTATTTCCTTGGAATTTGCTTTGCAGTGTTTGTGCCAGCATGATGTGGAAAAGTTCCATTCTAGGCTCCACACTTGGGTGTTATGTTAATCCAGCTGTGATCCAAGTACGTTAACTTGCAAATGTACCATGTTCGACTATTCCCACCAGCAAATTGATGTACCACACTGTGCAGGGCACACCACAAGGGAACGACAGCCACAAAGAAGCACAAGATCGCCCGGCTCAAGAAGGCCAGGACCCAAGTGAAGAAGCACCTGCGCAAAGCTCGAGCGGCTGACCCTGAGAACTTTGCCGCCCTCCAGCTCCTCAACAACCCACAGCGATTTGCTGAGAAGCTCTTCGCACGTGTGCGTGCAGGCCGTGAGCGCTTTGAGACTCGCCTCACCATGATTATGGTCATTTCCCGTGCCATTGGCATCCACAAGCTCATCGTCCTCAACTTCTACCCTTTCCTACAGAACTACATGAAACCCAGCCAACAGGATGTCACTTCCATCCTGGCATCCCTTGTCCATGCATGCCATGATCTGGTGCCTCCAGACACTCTTGCTCCTGTCGTGCGCCATCTGGCCAACAACTACATCCATGACAGGGCCCGCCCTGAGGTCATCACCACAGGGCTGAAGACTGTGCGGGAGATCTGTGTGCGGGCGCCCCTCGTCATGACACAGGAGCTGCTGAGCGACCTTGAGATGTACAGGAAGTTCAAAAACAAGCACGTGGCTGCAGCGGCTAAGGGAGTGATCTGCCTGTTTCGGGAGATCGCCCCCCTGATGCTGCGGAGGAAAAACAGGGGGAGGGGGGCCAACACAGACGCTGTGCTGGAGAGCTACGGGACTGTGACACCCAAGGCAAGGATTGAGGGGGCGGAGCTGCTGGAGGACGAGTTGGGGAATGGTGTGCAATCGGACAGCGAAGAGGAGGGGCAGGAACTGGAGGAGGAAAGCTCGGGGGTTGAAGATGGTAGCCCTTGTGAAGTGGAGGGGAGCCAGGGTGAGGGAGGAATGGATGATGATGAGTCTGGATCTGACTTGAACGCCAGTGAGGCAGAGCTTGAACTCGATTCAGATGAAGCGAAGAGTTGCAGCGAAGATGAGGATGACGATGGTGATTGTGAAGATGCTTGTACAGGGTGTAGTGGAGATGAGGTGGAGAGCTTGGATGGAAATAATGAAAGTGGCTCGTCACCTGGTGAGTTGCTATCAAGTCCTGAGGACGATTCTTGCAAGGCTTCGAAGTTGAGTGGTCAGAAACGCCAGAGAGAGGCTGAGCCAGATAGCCTGGCAAACTTGAGAAGGAAGCTTGCCGCTGCCACTGCTGCTCGGCATGGTGAAGGAAACACCACGGGAAACAGGGCAATGCAGCATGGCCAACCTGGGGGACATGGTGAAGAGGCGAGTGTTGTTGATAATGGCAATTCAGCTGACGTTCAAAAGGGGATGCCGATCGAGATGCAGAGGATCCTAGATGATTCGGACTTTGAGCGAATGCAGGAGCTACGGCACAGGCAGCTGGTGAAGGCCATCATGTCCAAGCATGGACTTGTGCCAGTGCACCGCAAGAAGAAGCTGCTCGAGGCTGCTGAGGAGGTGGTTGACCAGGCGCTGGCGCTGGAGGCAATGAGGAACAGCATCACTGAGCAGAGGGTGGCGCCTGACGAGCTGGTGGGCAAAGTGAAGGGCAAGCTTGCCAAGGAAGAGCTGCTAAGGTCGGCTGCCAAGGGAAAGGAAGGGCGGGAGGGCTTTGAGGCAGCCAGCAAGCGGAAGAAGAAAAAGAGTGGCGGCACCAGCAACAGAGAGAAACAGAAGAGAAAGAACCTGCCAGCGGCGGCCAGACTGAACCAGGCCAGGAGGCGGCGACGCAAGAATGACATCAAGCGAAAGGGGAAGAACTTCAAGGGTCACGTGCGGAAATGATGTTGTGTTTTGTAGGAAGGAGTCTGTAGAATGTGACAGAATTGATGGGACGCCGGTTAGCTGCCATTTGGGCAGCTGCCAGCAGTGCTGTGAACGAGAGCGCCCAAGGCCGAACCACAGATTCCATAATACTTTACAGAACGTCCAATTCGATATCATTGGTTTTTGGTATGGCACAGGTCCCATCTCCCATTCAACAAGCCACAAGTGAATGAGTGCACCGTACTCGTTCGTATCAATGAGACAACATCCTTGGTAATAGAGTGTTCTTCTAACTCAGACATTGAACTAGCAGGTATGAACAGACGCTTTATCTGCTAGTATGAATGCAACTCCACGGCACCGTGAGCATCAATTCGTTTCTGCCCATCATCTGTGGCAGGGCACTAAACACTAGTCCCAGGCTGCTTTTGCAGTTACATAATGGAACAGCGCGGCTTGATCCTCTTTCTCGCGCTGCGCTGTCGCCCATTGGGCTCTTCGAGCGCCTCTGTCTCCTCAGACCATTCGTCTTGTTGGTCCAATGGGAACGTCCAATGGATGTCGCTCGGGAAGTCGACTTCCATCTCGTGGACCTGAATGTCGCCCTCGTCCGTCTCCTTATAGCAGATGCATGTCGTCTCTGCCTCTCCGAGCTTGAACTCAACCTTATGCCTACAGTCAGTCGTTGAGACTGTTGGTTAATGAGTCAATAGATTGCAATCTGTTGACTGCATCGTCGGTTTGGCATTCAGTCGATCAATTGACACCCACTTCCATAACACAAACATGGGAGTTGAGCACCCTGCTCACATGTAAAATGAGCGCTCCAATGAACAGAAACGACACCGGCAAACAAATAGGCCCAAGAGTGAGATTTCACTGTGCGTCGTTGCATAACAGTCCCATGGAACAGCCAGATTTCTGCTGCGTCTTGCAGTATGGGAAAGATGATATGCGCTTGGAGCATCAAAGAAGACGAACACTGAACAATGAAGTTCCTCCCATGTCACATCGCAGTAATAACAGGGCATGTACAATGACATGCGTGTCATGTTGATGCTCAGCAAACGAGCGTGGAACGGGGGGGCATGCCTTCGCCCGTGCAGCAAGCGGTGGCAAAATACCTGCGGTTTTGGAGGGGCACTGATGTGTCGACCATCACCGTCCAAGACCCAAGTGTGCGCACGTCAGGCCCATCCTGGAGGAACACTTCTGGGCTCTTTGTCACAAGAATTCTGAACGTGATAGTGGTCTGGCCCTCCGCTGATTTGTACACTGCGCGCTTTGACCTACTGCCCACTTTCACGTCGTCTCCTACACGGCCATAGATGTCGAAGACATTCAGCCGCCACTTGCCGTCCAGCCCCATATATTTTTTCGATTCGTGTTCCGCATGCAAAGGGTCTAAAGCCCTGAATATCATGCTGGCGCCGATCCCCACGGTGTACTTTGCCTTCCTCGACTCGAACACGTCGGACCTTGCGCCATAGGCAGCCGCTCCCTTGACAATGGCGAGATCTGGGTGCCTGCAAACCACCACGGTCACCGCGCTGTGCTGGAAGTTCTCACGAACCTTCTGTTGGAGCACGGGGCTGCGACCAAACCCACCCGCAATGACCACCCAGCGAAGGCCACTGAGGGTCGTCGAATTTGCCGGGGAAGATAATATGCCATTCAATTTGCCGACGATCCGGTTGATAGGATCCTCGAAGAAGGAAATCATGAGGTTGAATGAGAGACCAAGGGTGGACATGCCCATCAAGCGGGCTGGTTTGTGCGGATTGCTGGTGTTCCACCGGGACACAAGGTCTGCCATCTCTTTATGTATGTGCAGATGGATGGCTACTTCCCCTATGCCCAGTTCAGCATGCCAGTCAGGGTCGCTGTTCTCCTCCCCAGTGAATGTGGTCTTTCTGGCCTCCCATGCCCTCGCAAGGTTGAAGTACGCCGTCGATTTCATCAGGGCCTGGAACCGCTCACTGCCGACTAGGCTCTTGAAGAAGTGATAAAATTTTTCATCCACCCTGATGCCACCAAAGAAGCCACCATCGGGGGCCATTAGGCCCTTCAGCCTCAGCGGATTCACGGACCGCACCTGATGAGCCGTGATGTCCACAGTGCCCCCACCGCAATCCAGGGTGATGAGTTTGTCCCCAACCTCCATGGCGGCACCCCTCTCCATTTGAATGGAGATGCACGCACACTCAGGCTCCAGGGCCAACTTCAGGCGTGGAGACCGCAGCTCGCTCATCATCCCTGCCCTGTACGCCGCACCCCTCATCATCTCCAGCGCCCAGTCGTTCCAAATAGCCGGCACCGTGATGACCCAAATCAGAGCCGTCGCCTGCACGAACTCACCCCTGTCGCTCAGCTTCTTCATCACGTCCTCCTTCAAGTACTCAAGCGCCTTGGCCAGCACCTCCGACAGCTTCAGCGGCGTGCCGTTCATGGCGTTGATGACGGGGTCCTGGCTGGAGGAGTTGTGCAGCCCCATTTTGAACCAGCGGAAAAAGAGGTCGTCGTCCTGCCTTGCGTTGGAATACCTCGCCTCCGCCCCGTAGCCGTATGCAAGGACCTTCTCCCCAGCCTTGTCCAGGAGGATGCTGGACGGCGTCTTCGTGTCGTATGCGCCGCCCATCGCGGACGCTCCAGCAGGCACGTCCACCTCAATGTCGTAGTCGATGGAGCCCTGCCGAGTGATGGCAAAGGCGCTGCGGGTGGTGCCGAAGTCCACCGCAGCGACAATGCCACCCTGCGACATGGCCTCGCGCTAACCTGAGCGGCCATAAGAGTGGCAGTCAGATTCCCAAGTGCATGATAGTTCCATCATCAAGGCACCACAAGCCAGTGGCAACAATCGTCCTTTTGCAAAGGGATGTCCCTGCCTGGGATAGCAAGTGCTTTTCTGTCTCAGTTGTGGTGCATGGCTCATTCCATAGGCCATGGAAGATACGGAGGCCAGTCCAGGCGATTTCTTCCCTCACCTCCGTCCCCCACCCCAGTTCTCAAACAAATCTACAGGGAAGCACTCATACCTGTTTGCTGCCTTGACTGGAGCTGCTATACTTACAGATGCCTCCTACCCGATGCCTCGTTGACCACGGCAAGCAAGCCGCAGCCCAACACATCCATGGATAATTCCCTTGAGGCATGAGGCCTCTAAGTGCTTCTGTGGTGAGGCCCTTTGGCACCACCAAGTTAGGCAGGCGATTGGGGTCCCCAATGACTGTGGGAGCCAAAAACAGGAGGCTAAGCCGTCGGTCCCAGCCGGCAGCAGGCCGGCAGTCTCTGCGAGGCCGCAAGAGCGAACAAAGCACGTTGCATCCGACAGCCTCCACTACAGCGGCAAGTCCCACACGCGCCGGCGGACAGGCCGCTCCCAAGGGCCCTGCCATTCTCTCTAATAGCCAAGGAGTACAGCCAAGAGTGGACCCCTGCGCCCACCAACAACGGCTGCCCACAGTAGTCGCAGGGGCCCATCGACGCATCTTCCTTGGGAAGGCTCCCGTGAGCGACTTCCATGGAGCCGCGCACGATCGCCAGTGTCACAGCTAGGCCACATTCGACCAGGCCAGCAGGTCAGCGTCCGCGGGTGCGCGACTTGCGGACGACCGCTGGGAGAGAGGTGCGCCCGCGGGACACGCACTTGAAAAGTGTCGTCTGCTGCACCTTGTGAAGTGGTGAGCTCCGCTGGCGGCAGAGGGGCTCAAGGAGAGGCAGAATGTGGAAGCACCTGGCAACCAGCGACCAGGAGAGACGGCTGAGCCGGGGCTGGCTAGAGACAGCTGAACCTAAGTACTCAGAATTTCCAAAGGCCTGGAAGGGGCCAACCCGGGTGAATATTGTATTTTGTTAGCATTTCCGCATTGAGAGAATTTGCGAATTTGCGTCTATTCTTCCACACAATGCTGAAACAGCGTCTCCCAGTTATTGCTGTGTTTTGCATTGCCTTTGCAGAGGACCGTGTAGCATTAGCAGATGGTGGGTAGCTTTGGGAAGCTGCGACAAGGGGCCCCATTTGGTCGCGCTCAAAGGCTGGCACTCGATAGGGACACGAAGCTATGGTCGTCTAGGCGCAATCTACAAATAGTTGTTGCGAAGATCATGTTGGCGTATGTCCTTTGGGACAGAAATGGGTGGGCCTGACGATGCAAAAACACCCCTTTTCTGGTCATGCCGGTGTGCAGTCGACAGGTTGGAGCGACGAACTCAATTGAAAGGGTCCCTGGGCTTTGCTTGGAAGCCAGCGTGCAGTTGGCGGGGACACATTTCCGGTGGCCTTGCGTACAAATACACCCGCTGTGATCATTGGAACCCACCATTCACGAGCAGCCTTATGAAAAGTGGATGTCTGAGAAGCGAAATTTGCGAACCGACGGTCGCCAATGCTCCTTGTTTGTCGCCCAAGGATAGCCACAAGCTGGCTTATAAACGGGGAACGACTAAGAAGCCACACTTTGTGGCCGTTGGTTGACAGCGCGAGGGTGTTCAAAGCGCTCTCAAAAGCAAAAACGGCACAGCTGCGGCGTCGCCAGTCACTCCAGAGTGTCAGAACTATTGGGGTCGCTTTGATCTGCAATATGCTGTTTCCTTTCCGCAATTATCCAATGGAGCACACTTGTCGTTTCGCGATTTATTTCTGCTCCACAGAAAAGGAGCAAGCATCTTGTTGTTTGCGAAAATACCAAGTAACTTGAGACATGCTGCAAAATAGTGCTCAGAAGAAAAGCGTTCGTGCTTTTTTATAGATCAAGGCTGTCCGCAAGACTTCCAAATGTAGGTTTTAATCACTGGCGACCTTATTCGGACTCTCGCCAACGGCTACTTTGGAGAGGACCGGTTGTCGAACACGGGCGTTCAAGCTGAGCAGCGGGGTGCCGATTGCACTTGTCCGCCTGAAACGGCTGCGATATTTTGTGGGTTGGTCAGCCCCGGAGCAAAGTAAACGGAACTACGGGGACAAATCCAGTAGTACAAGGCAGGTGGCACTGGTAAAAAATGGGCCAAAGTACACGGTC